TTCCCTGTTGAAATGGTAGAGGGGGAGAGGATGAGGTTGTTGTGCTTGAAAAGAATCTAGTGCTTCCACTCCCACAATTTGACAATTATTTGGAAGCTATTCTACTTTTCTCTCCATTGTACTAGAACTCAATCTTATTCTGACTTGGTGACTAACATAGGTCATTAGACAATTTTACTCTTATCCCTGATTTGAAACTCTTCCTCCAGTGGAATGTTCTGTTCCTTGTCTTCTGCTCAAATGAACTTCAGGGATATTAAAGTTATGGGTTAATTTTGGGTTAAGGAACATAGCCCTTCAGAAATATGCATAGCTATTTGAGTTTTCATCAATTCATTGTGGCAGAAATAGTGTGAGTCATACATTTAGAAAGTTTTATTTTGATTGGAAGTGGGAAGAAAACCAAAGGAATTCCTATTATTTTAAAGAACTCAAAGGAAAATGATTGTAGGACCTGCTCCAGAGATTCCTATGTGTCACAGTGGTTGTATTGCTACATAAGACCATCTTCTTGATCCAGTGGATGGTCAACAGCATTAGTATTGACAGCATTCATCATTTTTTCAGAGGAATGGCCAAGATATGGAAAGTAATTTTCCACACCTCCCAAAAGATGATCTGAAAAATCAACCTTGGTAGTTACAATAGTATGTTTATCAGTACAGTGTATGTGGTAGTTGGAATCTTGTTGCTGGATTATGCTGATATAACAAGGGATTACATTGGCATAACTATTTTATGTTGTGTAAGGAAGCTTCTACTACCACATTATGTGCTGGCTTCTTTATGCTGTCCTAAGCAATGGCTGCTAAGCTTTGCTCAGGCACAACTCTGTCCCTGATCCAAATGCACTGATTCTTTGTTGGGGTGTGCACATAAGGGAGTTATGTCACGTTGCTACCTGGATAGCTATATCTGCCCTCTTTACTGATCTGCCTTCACTTTCTTCCTTTTGGACTTCTGCAGAAATATTCAGAAAGAAATTCGAGTTTTATCCATGAATCAGATGTGGAGCTGTTTCCCCAAATTACCTCATTTGTGTGTGCATGAGATGAGATACTATTACATGGAATCCTTGTTTCACCTGTAGGTTGCTTTTGTTAGATCTCGTCATTTTGTATATGAATGTATGTGTAGAAATCAAAGAAAAAAGTCAATTGGTATAAAAATATTGGCAGTCTTTGTAATGTAGCATAAGGAAATCACCTGAAGAATCCATGAGTATGACTTAGTTATTTTAAAAAGCTGATTTACACGAGACAGACATGAAATGTGGAGAGTGTACTTTCAGAGACAAGTCACACTATGGCTTGGTCTTGCATGCATCTTTGATTGCTCTTCATTGCAACCTCTTTGAACCTGCTAGTGGTTCTGACCACAGTATCAAAACAGTATATACTATTGTACAAAATAACCCCACTTTATGTTCTTTTTCTATGGCATAGTGGAATATTGTCATTATATTTTGTCTGATAGAAATCAAGTCATTAGATGCTAAAACAAAATAATTTTCATAGAAGCTGGATAGGAGGCCTCCTATTGGCTTGTCAAAACAAAATAGTAGTTAAATTTATTCTCCAAAAGAAATTTAATGGGAAATAAATTGCATCATTTATTTGGGGGGTTAATAAGGACATCAGAGAATTGGTCACAGATTTGCATTTGGATTGTACTAGTTCTATACAATTGCCTGAAGTGTAATATTTTTTCCAGTTCCTGAATCGTGTATATCCAACCCTTCCTTATGGGGTGCAAACAATACAGCATAAATTGTGTGGTTGTCTATCATATTATTTGGTGATTATAAAGATGCTATTTCATTTGGCTTCATTGGCACAATTTGGACAGAACAATGGGTGCTTGACTGAAAAAACCTGATCTTTCCCTTAACTTGCTACTGAGATCTGAGATTGTTGGAATGTCTCTAGTTGCTGCTGGTGCTATGATCCATATGAAATTACCAGAATAAGTGGCAGTTTTGTAACATGCCTTTGAGATTTTGCCCTTTTCTAACGTTAAGATTTTTTTTGTTTAAATAGAAATAAGAAATCAAATGTCAAGAAGTCAGAATTAATATAATCTACAGAAATTCACTTGAATCAGGGTGTGTTTTCAAGTATTTATTTTGTAGCAGAAATTAATTCAAAGGTTCTTGAAACTATTGTTGTTCAACTTCTGTTGATTAATTCTTTGCTGAAATATACAATCCTTCCTTGTAGTTTTCTCATTTTGGTATATTATCCTGGATTTGCTAGAATGAATGACCATGCTTTATTTATTTGTAGGTAAAGAATGTAAAGCAACTATTTCAAAGATGACAATATAATATGTGTTTATGAATGTGAGTGCATACAAAAGTCCTATTAAAAACTATCACTGTTATGTTTTAAGACAATGGAATCAGCACTTAGAGCACTGATGCCAGGCACACAAAATAAGAAAAAAAATGCTGTTTTAATTTTGTCTGGATGTGTAATCATATGACTTGCACCATTAATACTACAATTCACTTCAAGATTGTAATCTGCATAAAGATTGTGGCCCTGGTCCAGAAGATAATGAAGCTTATTATATTCTGTAGAACACTATGGCATATAGTAGTCATTGTTCATTAAGTTTTCTTGCTTGATGTTGATATGATCTAGGTATAGGTTCTATGGGAATAATGTTGATCAAGTACTGATTCTGACTGGTTTCCTGCACACAAATGGAATAGCCACATACTGACACATGCACATAAGAACAGCTGCTCATACACTGGTATTGTTTATATGCATGTGAAGATATGCAAGAGACAGAGTGAGAGCAATACCTAAATGAAAGTTGTCCCGGGAGTATGAAAAAGATAATGCCCATGCTGAAACCACTGTTACCTTGGTTTGTGCAGGTTTTATTACATTATCTAAGCAATCAATATGAGGAAACTGAGTACATCACTACAGTTTCTAATTCACCATTATGTAACTAATTTGTTCAATAGCTCAATTCACTGTATAACCAGGAAACCCTTAAAGGTGGCAAACCTGTTTTTGCTTAGAAGCATTTATAATCCAATTAATTGCTTTCAATGCTGAGATTGAACTATGGCAGTAATAGTCCCATGACCTGATCCTCTGATGTGCCTTCTGAGAATGAGTTAGGAGATGTAAATACATAACAGAGACTTTACACTTGAACTAAGACATGACTCCATTCCCTATTATGGAGAAGCCAAAAACCTCACTCTGTCAGTAGCTATCCTTTACTTTTTTGTGTTATAGCCATCCTGCATAAAAGTAGTTGTATGGCTTTACTGGGAGAGAAGCAAGAGTGGAGAGGAAGGCAGAGCACCCCCCTCCCGCCCCACATTGCATGGCAACCTTTGGGATAGAAGTTCAACCCAAACCTCCATTGTTCATTTCTTGATCTAAGGCAGGAGTGGGAATTGAATGGCTCCCTAGATATGTATTGATTGTGTATTCCTGCATGCCAAGGGGTTGGAGTGGATGTCCCTTGAGGTCTCTTCCAACTCTGTGATTCTATGTTGTTGAACTGCAACACCCAGCAGCCAGACCAAGATTATAATTCAGAAACATCTGGAGGGCCATATGAATCCAACAGCTGGTCTAAGGGCTGTGATCAGAGGCCAAATGGCATTTGGGCAGAATGCAATGGCTTCATTGGATCCCATTACATTTAAGCATAAGAGAACATGCCAGTGTTTCCACTGCTCTGGCTAAAACAGATGAACACGCCAGAGCTGTAATATGGATGTACTTCAGTAGGGGCTATACATTTATTTAGGTGTAGAAAATGTATAGTTATGAATGATTACTAAATGATAGTATTTTGGTTCCTTGACAAGCCAAAGGACAATTTGCCCATTTAAATACTGGAATCCATGGTGCCCAGGATGTCAGGCTAAGGCTGTATCTGGGAGGCACTGTCTCAGCAAGGTATTATTAAAAGTTGACAAGGTCAATGAATTTAGGCTGCTCTTCCTGACAATATCAAAACAAATAGAAACAGGCAAAACGCAATATTGACATCATGGCATTTGGCATTACTATTGGAAGGGCTTGGCATTACTATTGGAAGGGTTCATCAATGCAACCAGACATTTCTATGACACACTGTTTAAAAAAGCAACCCCAGACCTTGTCACACCAGAAGCAAAATGCATAAATAAGCTAAATATCACACACAACAAACAAGAGTCTGAGGACAGGTACCACTGTGCAGCTGCCAGAAAACTGTACAGAAATCCACACTAAAAAAGTAGCACTTTCTCACAGAAATATAAGCTTTTTTTTTCTTTTTCTTTTGAAGTGTACAGGCCATATTCATTTCTGATATAACAGCACTGTGTTTGCCCTGACAGACAAAAATGATCATGACCCTTGGTGTCTGCAGAATTTAAGAAACATCTGGCAATTAATCCCTTGAATTTAATGAGAATATCAGGAGGCTTGTTACAAAATCATTTTCGCCCTCTCCATGCTACTCAGACACATTCATCATGTTTTGCCCTTATGTGGATAACAAACATGAGAAAGCGTTTGCTATGGCACCTTCATTTTCCCATACCAAAGAGCCACATGGTGCAGTGGGATGCTGCTACGGCAACATAGAGGAGGTGGCTTAAGTATTAATTTTAATCATGCTCCTCTGACTTATAAGTGTAATGATCACATGTCATTTTAACCAGAAGTGATAGTAACTATAGGCACAACTGCCTTAGGATGTTTTTTCTTGTAAAATAGAGCAAATAAATATTAATAATTTAAACTAAAGCAAAGACAGCTTATTACTTTTGATGGTTAGCGCCTCTGACAGCTTCAGTGCTTCCAAATAAGGAATCATTTAGAGTAAATGAAGAAAAAGCATTTTCAGCAAATCCAGTGGAATGCTATTTAAGAAGCAGAAGCAGCTTGCATAGCATTAGCACAAACTTGATCAAAGCAAAATCCAAGACTTGCAAGCCGGCAAAATGATTGCAAAAAATAAAAATACAGAAGCAGTTTTGGAAAGCATTTCTTCCTGACATGTTTTGAAAAACCACTCTTACTAGAAGTTTGTGTGCCTGTGCATGTGCCTATATAGACACAGGCACTGAGAGGTTTCAAGCTTTCTCAAACAATTTACAAAATTAAGACTATATTGATTATATTTGAGCAAAACTGATACTGGTCAATGACAGCAAATGTCAAATGAGATCTTGTCCTACAGTTTTTTTTACCTAACTGGGCTCTGCTGGAGATATGTTGTGGCAAGCTCTGTCAGAGGAAGTGACAAATAAGTAAGAGGGAATTATTTCCAACTTGAAGCCACACTGGAAGATGCTATGGGATTTAATTTTTTATAACAAGTCCCAGATGGAGAGACAAAATAATCACCTGCTTTTGGCATTAAAGAAAGAAAACACAGTAATAACTTACAACGAATGGTGCAATTAAAAAAACCAATTAATTGAAAACTTCCAACATTGATAAAAGAAGAGGAGCCTAGTAATGTTGCTCAGATGTGCTGACTCCCTGCAGCGTTCTGCATTTCATTAAAAATGATGCACTATGTGAGCAGATTAAACTATGGAAGTTTGACTAAACAGAATGCGCCACCATGCCAGTAAGAGAGAACAATACTTACACTTACTCAGAACAGTAGCTAGTTGAGGGGGAAGGCTGTCTCGCAAGGTAAACACAGTGTACAAAATTAAATCAAGTTAGATAGAGAATGTTCCCCATTCTGCAGTTTGTTGGGCCCAAGAGCTCCAATACACATGTGTGTACAAAGCAGGTTTCACATGTGCAAGGAGCTCTTGCGTTGGAAAGTGCTTCCCAGTTCACTTCAATGAATGCATGCTAACCTCCATTGTGCTTGTGGAGTTTTGCCCTGCAGTAAAGTGAAAGGGGAGCCCCATTGTGAGGGAGATTTGTGTGCATATTGGAATGCCCATACAGGCTTAGGCTGAGCTCCTTGTGTTATGCCTGATGCTTCAGTTACCATTGAAGAGTTACGAAATGACTTGTGATATTGTGCAAAACATGAGTCCTTAGAGCTATCGGAACTACCATATATAGCCAATTTCATCATCCTTATCATCGTCTTCGTCTTCATCATCATCATTAGTTGCTCTTACATGGATCTTTTGTTTCCCTTCTTTGTCCTTCTTTGTTGTTTCATGTTCCTCTTCCAGATCATCCAACAATATTACTGACCCACCACTGCCAAAATCCCCTGAAGTTTCTTGCTCTTCTTCTGCAACATGAAAGAATTCAAAGTTATAGGGGATTTTTTTTTGTAATTTTCTGTCAAGACATATCAAACTCTCTTTACTTAGGCATACTAGTTAAAGCCTATTTCTTAAAAAAAACAATACAAAAATTTTACAAATGAAAAGCATGACAACAGGTGTTCAAAATAACATACAGTCGTCTGCTGCACCCACAAAACCATGCGTTTTCAGGAGGAAGCAATAGTGGATGACAGAACCTTACATCTCTAAATGGTGGGTTCAAATCCATTCCAGGTCAATGGTGACTGAAAGACACCACCATCTGAGGAGTGTTCGAAGATATCTGAAATGAGTTGGCGGTCTCAGTAAATTGCAAACCTCATAAAAACCCTATCACAAACAACACTAACTGTGAATTTCTGCTTTTGCCCTGTTAGTAGGTAAGAAAATATTGAACATAATTTTAGAGATGGCAGATTGTAGTCCTGTGTAATGAGAAAAATAGGATACACAAGGAAATGATAAATTGGCCAGTTCTTAATTGAATTAATATACATGGGTTGATTTGTTCATTTTTTATTTGCTTATGATTGTTGGTCACAATAATAGCTCTGTATATCCATACTGGACACCCAACCCCCACCCCCCAAAGATGCAATTGTTGGCAACTTATGTATATTGTCTGTACTAAAATAAAGTTATGGAAAGTGATCACTTCATTTTGATACAATTGCATCTTTCTGTCTATAGATTTAAGGGTATATCTCACTTGATCCTGAACACTACTTCTTTAGGAGATATTTTACGCAAGAAGCAGAAATAATATGGAAAGTAGCAGGGACAGGTTTCTACACCAAAGAAGAGTAATTCAACATGTTTCAGAAAACCTTTGACTCAAAACTAATAATACAGTACATTGATTTTCAGATGCAAAATAAAATAATTAACTCAGCTGCATAAGTAAACAAATTTTGGAAGCAATTATGGAGGTAGCTGCTTGTTTAACTTGCCCATTGTAGGCAGAACACACAACTTTAGTCAGATTGGCAGAATCCTGCTGTTTTCTAGCATTGATTATTGCGTTGCTCAATGCAGATATGCTACTGCTCCCCAGCCCTGAAAGCCTGTGCTTCTTTGTCTATCTTTTATCGTCCTCTCAATGTGAGTTTTTGAGGGGTGGGGGACCCTATCAACTATATAATGGATGGGAAGGAAAAGAGGTTGGCTAGATGGATGTTAAAATATCATTTGCAAAAAGGAACATCAACCAGAGGGTTTGTTAACCCAGACAAGTCTATACTAATTAGAGTTTTCAAATTTGATACAAATCTGGTCTTGATAGAGTGGAATATTTGAGAGCGTATTAGAGCCTCACCAATGAGACCAGTAAAGGCAATGGGTTCCCATGAAAGCCAGAGTACAACTGTTGATTTCATCTTGCATTGAGTACCTAGTGGTGGGCCCTTGGCACTATCTCCTCAGACTGTGGGTAAAATCTTGCAGGCATAACCTGAACCCAACATATAACTGAACATGTGTCCCTGTGATATACTTCGGAATCACCTGCCAATCATCTATACAGAGGGTCTGTTGGTATACTATGCCCATGCAATTTACGCAGAGGCATTTTACTTGGGTTGCATTCTGCTGCAGGGAAGAAACATTTCTGTTGACGTTGTCTGGAAAACATGGTTGCTGGCTCCAAGCATCTTATTTAGACAACCTTGGGATCAAAAGCTCTCTGAGGACAATGGCTTCCAAAACTGCATGTGTGATGGGGCTGATAATTTTGCAAGCTACTGTCCCCATGGTTCATTTTAAGTTAATGAATATCTGCCCTGAAAGGCTGACATGGAAAAAAAACCCAAACAGGTTGCTTAGGGCCAGCAACTTTCTTGTCCAGGTAAAACCAAAGAAAAATCTGCCTTCTTTTCTTTGCAGTGATTTTTTTTAATTCCCACCACAGATTTGCCACTACACCAAATTATACCAGTGTAGCTATGCAACAATCTTCGTATACTGTCTCAATATGGAAAGTATTAATAAAAGGAACTTTGAATGCTTTTACTTTCCCCACTCTTGTAATTTTGGAAGGTGAAATTTAAACACACATGCATTATCCAAAATGATCTTCAGGCTTGAAGCCTGAAGAAGAAGTTCCAATCTGAAACTTTTAATTTGTAAGAGTTGAATGCCTTTTAATAATGTTCTAGCTATCAAAAATATTATAGGACTTCACTGATTGCTGATCCTCTCTTTTGCTAACATGTTTTATTAAAAACTAATTTTCACTAATAAAGAGCTGAACTGTATAAGAAAATATTGAAATAGCCACGCATAGTTCTTTTGTGTGTGCAATTGTATTTGTGTAATTACAAGTGTGTGTGTGTATGTATGTATCCTTGGTGGGGCAATATCAGAAACAGTTCTTCAGATTAAGCCTCTATTATAAAACTAGTTTATAAAACATGACACAGGTAAGTTGTAGGGTTCCTTGATGGTGTACTTTGTATTGTATGGGAAGCAATAAAATTCACTTAAAATTCACATTTTAAATATATTAGCCTTCCTCAACAGCATATTTTATTTAAATACAAACTACTATAGTTTCTAAGCTGACAGAAAAAACAACAACAAATCAAACATTTTCATATGGTCATGTATGCTCATATTGACTTGCTTGTTCAGAAAGAAAAGTTTCTTTTGTGAGCCCATATACACTGTAAATACAAAGACTTGAACATACTTACTTACCATTACAGCTAAGATATTTCTCCTTATGGCATATTGCACTCTCATAGTCAAGTTTTGCAGCAGTGGGCAAGGGATCATACTATATTAAGCCCTATTTGGTCTATAAAGGAAGTGTGCCATTACTCACCACAGCTAACAGTCCCTTGCTTCCTTGAGCCGGCTATCTCATTGCCGTACTTATCAACACACCAACACTGGCCAGTACTTCCATGGCACTGAGTCGCTTTGTAATAGCCTTCCTCATTGCATCGTGGAATGAATGTACCTGGAGGTAGCACAATCAGGCCCGTGTCAGTAAGAGATAAGCATGCAATTGTAGACTATTGTAGACTAAATTAGAGAAAAGGTTGGCCTGAGACTGGCCATGATCTTCAAGGAAGTCAACTTCAGCTATGTTGCAAGAACATGCTATAAACACATGACACAGACACATCAATCTCATCTTAAGTCAACAGCTTTGTGATGTGTAGGATGCTTCCAAACATACAGTATTGAGAAAGATTGCATCGCCCTGTTTAGGATGTGTGGGTCTTTAAGTAGCCTCTCGACAAGAGAACCCTATTAATTTCTTAGGGTTTTCTTATGTAAGGAGTACTTGGAGGTGGTTTCCCCAGTTCTCTCCTCTGAAATAGAACCTACAGCATTTGGTATTCATTAGTAGTCTCCCATCCAAGTATTAACTGGGCCAAACTCTGCTCAGCTTCCAAGATCAGAGGAGATTTGGGACTTTTGAGGTATTTAGAACACTACCTTAAGCTACCCAACATATTTAATATTAAATCCAACCCTTTTAATATTTCTTGAAGCCACTGATAACTGTAGTTGTGTAACCAGCATTCAATTTCCTAGCTGTCTCCACAACAGTGCCATGGGGAAACCTGTGACATTGCAGATACAAGTGTGAGATCTGTAGAGCTCTGGTGAATGCTAGATACACCCTATGATGCTGTTTTATTTTCCATGCCCAATGGCACAAGTGAATGCAGTCCAGTCTTTTCTGCCTTGTAACAAAATCTTTCCATGCACACACAACACATCCTACTGTGGAAAGCCAATGAGAAAGCAATTAATTGCTGCCATGTTTCCCTTTTAATTTACAGATTTCAGCGCTGACAATAAGAGGATAAATTACCCCTGGAAAATACTTCCCATCTGCTTCTAAGAAGTTCGGTGTATTAAATATGCATAGTTGCTGGACGTATTCACATGTGGGGAGGCCAAGCCAAAGTGGAAGAAAAGTTAGAAATTAATTCTAGGCATGCCTTCATTTTATAATAAACACAGTGATTCCAGCTGTTTTATGTAACATTGTGGTCCTTCACCCAAAAAGTCTTTTCTCTTGTAAGAATGCTTGCTTATTTCTGTCACTAACTTCAGCGGATACCATGTAAATACCGCACCTGAGTGCATATATGCAATACAAATCGCTTCTTTCTGGAGATGAGAGTTAGATGAAACCCTTGTAGATGCCTGTATAGCAATCTCCATTGTCTGCCGTTCACTTCAATTCCAAGCACAGAAAAGCAGGTTTTTATAGTGTCCAATGATATCTGAGAAACTATCTAGCACCTTTGTCAGTGAGATGCCACTTGATTTATTGCTCATAATAAAAAAAGAGTCTCCTTTCACCAGTTCCATACATAAGAGCATCTCTGCAGAGTGTGCATATATGTCAAAAGGACTATTTCTACTCCATTTCCCATGGAGGGGAAAATGAAGGGAAATGCATTGTTTAAATGCCATGCTATTACTTATATAAAAGACACAGGAATGGGAAATCGCTCATATATTTAATACATTATAAATCAGTGCATTCTCTATCCAGCCACTGCCAATATTAGAGAGGGTGTCCAGCTTTTAAATGTTACCACTGTAGTTTATAAATATGTGAACATTAATCTTCCTGTATCTAACTGGCTATAAGAAGTGATGGAAAAAATCATAGCTTTTTAACTCTGCCTTTTAAAAGCAATAGGCCCAGAAAACCATCATTCTGCATAGAAAGTGAATATCTGTAATTACAAAATGCTATCTAGGCTATTAGAACCTCCTTTTAAAAAATGAACCTGCCCCTAAATGCTTACTCCTCTGAATTCACCACCTTATTCATTGGAGGTGGTGGTGAGTCAGGCAGATATTTCAAATGCTCTTAAGATAGGAGCAACTGGTTTCATATAATTTTGAGGAGAAGCTTTAACACGGTGGCAGATCTTTTTCTCTCCCCCCCCCCACCCGTTTTACTAGCTATTTTATTTTAATAATCCATCTCATGAAAATGGGCAATTCACATATAAATACAGAAGCCTTCCACCTGATCTTCCTAGCATATCTTTCACACAATGCTATCAAGATACTTTTTGCTACCAACTCTTAAATTGTTCTTTCCCTTTCAGAGGAGCACCTCATCCACCATTCAGCAAGTGGCACAGATGGTTCTGGTCCAGCTTACCTGTCTGAATGTATCTCCTCCTATGAACCATCTTGGAGATTAAGATCGTCTGGAGAGGCCCTGCTCTCGGTCCCACCTCCTTCACAGGTGTGATTGGTGGGAACGAGAGACAGGGCCTTTTCAGTGGTGGCCCCTTGGCTGTGGAACTCCCTCCCCAGTGATATTAGATGAGCCCCTTCTCTCCTGACCTTCAGAAAGAGAGTGAAAACATGGCTTTGGGATCAAGCATTTGGCAAAAAACACAGTGTAATAGATGGACTTGGATTTGTGTAATGATTACCGGAATGGTCTGGCTATGTGTTGTGACTCAGCGTCTGTCTCATGTACCTACTAGTAGTAGTAGAAGGAAAAGAGGTTTGGAAGAGGAAG